GTTCATGCCCTTTAGGAACAAAGCCCTCAATTTGCTTAACCTTTCATTGCTTTTGGCTTTAAATTTTGTCATGTTAATTGGTCAATATATTGACAGGCATTCTTCAAAGTACCTGGTGCTGTTTTTCACTTTTTCAAATTATTACTTCATTTTAATTTTCTGTTTTATATTAGCATACCATGTTCTTCTATCAACAAATCAATTGGATAAAGTTATTTTCTTGTATCAAAAGGTTTCTTCATTTTGTCATTACAAAGAACCTGTTGTTCATCATTCTCAAGATTATCCTCAACTACGAGAGCCACTCCTTGAAGAATATAGCTCTATCCATGCAATAAAGTCAATTTGTAAATATACTTAGATTATTTTTATTTTCTCAAGCTTATGCAGACATTGTGTAGTTATTATTGCTCAGTATTACCTATAGCAACTTAATGTTTTCAAGAATATTAGATCATATATACATACTAACAGTATTCTCACTTAGCCAGCCTCCTCCCTGCTCATTAACATATATATCTAGTCAATTCTTTTTAGAAGGAGAGAAAGTGACTCAACTACTGAGAACATCTTTATCATAATGTATGCATGTAATAGTTGAATGGTATGCAATAAATTCTGTTTGTGGGTATGATATCCTCACTTGCACTAGCACTACAAATTATAATCATTGTTCATAATGATATTCAGTGTTATTGGTGTGTTTCTGTAACTATTTTCATGAGGTCCTATACCACACACATACACTGATACACCATCCTTTATACACTGGTATATGTAGTACATTTGTACTGCTCCATTTCAGTTTACAGGAAAAGCTTGTTCCTTTAATTAACTAGTGAAGGTTACTATTGCTTTGCAGTACTAGAAAGGATCTTCTCTTCAATTCCTTTTATAAAGTCCTTTCTTTATTGTGGTGTAAGTGATCACTGAAATAGCTACACCTTAAGTTACCTAATTCTCTCATTGTCCTCCATACTATAGTACAAGATGATTGATGTCTCTCAATGGAGAGCAAGTATTGGACTGTGGAACTACTGTCAAGCTGCCTCCAGTAAACCAGTAAATGGCCGCCACTCTCACTCATTCAAAGCTGCAGTAGACAGCAAGTCAGGCAGTACTAAATCAGGAGAGGAAATATTGAAACTGCCAGCAGCTCTGTCTTTCATTGCTTTACTCCTCCTCCTCTTTCTCTCTCTCTCTTTATTAAGACACATCTTGATGATTCCACCAACAGGTAAACAGCAAATGCAACTTTGTACTTGTATATTTACTGGTATTTTATTATTAGGTAACTGCTACCAAGTACAATGTACTACTGGTGTTACTGTTACTGATAAAAATTACTTCCAGTCAGTAGTCATACCTGGAGGTAGCAGTTTTAACCTGATTTACAATGATCTCTATTTGATTGTTTGTCTACGTATGCTCCTCCTCTTATCAGGAGATGTTGAACTCAATCCTGGTCCTATGATTGATGATCGACCTGATATTTCATTGCTCACTCAATGGCTTGAACCACTTGTTGACTGGAAACCATTTGGCCGTTATTTACCAGGAATTACTTATTCAGATATTTCAAAAATTGAAGCAGAAAATGTAAAAATTGATGAAAGAAAGTCAGCATTGTACTCTAAATGGCTGAGTGCAGTACCTGAAGCAACATGGGCTGATGTGATTAATGCACTGAGCAAAAGAAGAGAAAACAAACTTGTACAAGACATTAGAAGAAACTTACAAAAAAGTGCATCAAAGTCAGCTAGAAGTTATCGTGCTGTCACTACCAGACCATCACAGGCAGAAGTGAAGTTTGAAACAGCAGAAGATGAAATAAAGATATTGGATACACTAATTAGGCTCAAGAAAGAGTTTCCTGGTTTGGTTTTGTACGTACGGTCAGGTCTTCAGATGAAAATTGAGAAGGATCCTAAGCAGTTAACTAATCTTATCATATGGTTGGAGACTTACATGAACTGGACTGACAGGCTAACAAATGCATCATTAGATGAAACTTTCAATATTATTCATCCGTTTTATGATTTTATTGATTGCAGTCTGATAGTGGACATGAGTGAATTTTTTTTACAAGACTTCAAATTTGGTGATCAGTTAAATATTGTGAGTGAGTTACAAAAATACAAGGAAAAAGCTGATAAACTTCGATTTTCAGCTCAAGTAAAACATCTTAATGAATCATTAAAGACAATATATGAAGAACATATACCAGATACATCAAATATGCCAATGATTTCAATGAAGCTTCATAATCCATGGTATGGTAGCAACATCAATGGACTCTCTCTACTGATCCACAACTTACTTCCAGTTGGACACCAGCAGTCAATAATGAAATATATTACAATAACTTCTGGATCTGTTATTATCAACTATTCTGTTCATGGTTCTACAGCTGATAGTCTAATGGAATGTACTGGAGGAAAGTTACAGTTTATGCGTCTCATTGGTATATTTAGTTTATACATTAAAGATCATCCTGTCCTTCAAGAAGATGAGAATATGAACTTCACCTTTGAACTAGCTCTCCTTGAGGCAGTCACAGCTGGTAATAATGAAGCAGTAGAGTTTCTTCTTCAACTAGAAACTGTTAATATTGATCATACTAATGAAGAAGGCAAGACAGCACTAATGTTAGCTTGTGAAAGAGGATATGAGGACATTGTACACAGTTTACTGTCTGCTAGAGCTAATGCTAACATTCAAGACAATAAAACAGCAGAAGCCTTTATGATCGCTTGTCACTATGGTCACACAAAAATAGTTGAAATGTTACTGAATGAACAAGTTGATCCTAATATTCAAGGGATAGAAGGTTGGAATGCTTTTTTGTTGGCTTGTGAAATGGGTCACACTCAAATAGTTAAACTGTTGCTGAAGGAAAATGTTGATCTTAATGTTCAAGAGATAGAAGGTTGGAATGCATTTATGTTGGCTTGTCAAAATGGTCACTCTCAAATAGTTGAACTGTTGCCGAAGGATCAAGTTGATCCTAATGTTCAAGCAAAAGATGGTTGGAATGCTTTTATGTTGGCTTGTCAAAATGGTCATGCTCAAATAGTTGAAATTTTGCTGAAGGAACAAGTTGATCCTAATGTTCAAAACAAAGATGGAGTGAATGCTTTTATGCTGGCTTGTCTAAAAGGCCACTCTCAAATAGTTGAACTGTTGTTGAAGGAACAAGTTATCCTAGTGTCAAA